AAAGGCAAACGACAATCTGAAAACCGTCTAAGTCCTAAAGACTGATCCAAACTGTCTGGGAAATAATCTCGAGTACTATACAGCATCTCTCGTCGCAACCATGCGGTTAGAAAATCTCTGCGAAACTTCAGGGTGAAACTCAATAATTTGCCGAAGTCATAAAGATCTTCTCGAACTTGATAAAACAAGTGTCGTATATGAATCGAAAAATTATATGAGAAATCTTTAGGCGTCAAAACAGTGCTATCATTTTCCGTTGAATCAAGTGAGTCACGGAATAATATCAAGAACATTTGTAGCAAAAGAAAAATCGAGAAACAAAAAGCAGCAATAGAGAATACGTCCTCCCTTCTCGCCGACTGATCATATTGCTGATCATGTGATCCATTCTGTCCGAGAAACCCGCTAAAAAATTTTGGGACTAGATCTCGGTGAAATAACTTTTGATAAAACTCAACGAGTGACTCCGAAAAAACTACCACCGAAGAATCAAAAACTAAGCGGAAAGGTTTCTCGAAAAATATACGGAAACATTGTTAACCCAATGCGTCGTGCCGATTTACTAAATCATCTCCCATTACTTATACGAGAAATCCTTCGTATAGTCAGGATCATGTCATAACGAAGTAACTTTCGAAAATAAACGTAACAGGTTTTGCGAAAAGTACATTCCTTATAGCGAAAACCAAGCTATACGATCCGGCACTAGGCGGCCAATCTAAACTTTGCTTCCTCGCGACATGATCTGAAAGATCTCACTCTTTAGCCCTTCGGTTCACGAGCATCCGCTCTCATTCCTCCCGATTACATCCGAGAATGAGACCGCCCCGCAAACGACTCCGCACGGGCTCTGCATCGAGCTTCTTAGGATCTGTCTCCCTTGAGTAAAAAAAAAAACAACTTACATACAAAGGAAAGTTTATACGAAACTTTCACCCTATAAATCAAACCTACAACGGAAAAATGTTTTCTATAAACACGAGCATACTTGGCATATCAAGCTCGACATAGGCTAGTTGGCTATTGTCCGATCGCGCTTCACTTCAATGCCAAGTGTACAAACCGACTCGACCTTTTCGATAGCACGAAAGTGTCGCGGTCTAATCCTCTACCAAATACGACCTAGGCTGTGCGGCTGAACACAACCTTCACCCCAAACCAATACATTCAACGAATAATGCAAACTTGTCGAAAATCGGCTAAGTTCTGTATTCTCGCAATTCACTCTATTTCCGAAGCAAGTTGCCTACAAAATCCGACGTATAAGAAAACACTCGTACCAGAGCTCCTAAAGCCGTACAAATCTCGGAAGGTCAACACTTCACAAAGCACCGTAACGAAAAACGCTTCGTTTCGGGGAAACAACTTACGCGACCTCTCGGTCCTAATTGCTCTAGCACAAATAAAAAAACTACCTAACATCCAAACAGGAATGTAAGTTTTAATTGCGAATATCCGCAAACGAACCAAAGTGTTCCTGCAAAGCAGGGTTAAGACAAAACCCTCGCAACACCGCGCAACATCTTCGAGCCCGCAAATGTTCCGAACACGAAACACGGCATATAAAATAAAAACCAACTTTCGGCACTGCGAGACGTCGCAGATGCCCGGAGATTAGTTTTTCGACACAAATACCTTCCTCGATAAAGTCATTTTCTTGGAAGACCTAACAATCCGTCCGCGACTATAAAATACGCAAAACTTCTTATCATACGTATCCTTCGCGAAGGCCCAAACTACGTAAACATCTATCACTTAAAAATAGTTTGTTGCTGATCACAACGAACTCGCAACAGTCCTAAACAAACTTAAGTTATCTCGCAGAGATAGCTCTCGAACACCCGACACAAGGGTAATAGCGCTATAAGAGAAATCCAAACTTTTGGTCAGCACTTCCGGGCAACTTAGAAATTGTTCCCGGTGAGATGTTCGGTTCCAACCAGACGAATCATATAAGCCGAGAACCTATTGCGGATTCTAAATCGGTATGGAATGAGGTTTAAATCGCAACAGGCAAAATGAAAGCCGACTAGTCATCGCATAGCCTCAATCCGAAAGTAAACCTAGGTCTTGCCCTAAACCCAGCACACTGGTCGCTAACGTCTCAAGGCATGAATCGAGATCCTAAAGGCATGTCTCTTCGTTTATATCTAAACGCTCACTCGATTTGCTAAACATCCTAAAATGAGCAAACGAATAAGGCGATACACTAAGGGAAAGGAATGCGAGACGACAACTCGCGGACCTCCCTCAATATCAACTCATACTATTCCCGCTACATTCATACGAATAAAAACACGCTCTTAAAAACGAAAACTGATTTTTAATAAGCCGCAAAAGCGGCAGGGACTCAGAGCCGCATACGGCCAGTCCAAAAACTATAACGGCCACGCTCGGCCAGACCAAGCGGCCTACGAGGCTAGTCTCAAGGCCGGCAAAGGTCAATATGCTGGATAATTCCTACACAACATATAACTAGACCGTAAAGGTCTTGCTAGGAAACAGGTCATACAAACCTTAACTCCGAAACGAACTACGAAAGGCTTGATCCCCTCAAAAGGGTACGTAGGCAGCCTTCACAAGGCGCAGCCCTAATCTTAAACGCTTTCTGCTCCCTGGAGAGTGGAAAGACCACTTTCAATGGACCTTTCCAACCATTAATTCCGCCTAACTTAACTAAAACTGGCTAACCACTCGCTAGAACCTTACGCTAAAGGCTCAAGATTCTAGCGAGCTGGGGGGCTAACTGTTGGTGTCAAAATCGGTCACAACGAAATCAATGGCAAAAAAGCCTCCGCAGAAAGTATAAAAGAAATCGTTTTATAAAACTCGAAGAATCGTTTTATAAAACTCGAAGAATCGTTTTATAAAACTCGAAGAATCGTTTTACTAAACTCGAGAATCATTTTATAAAACTCAAGAATCGTTTTACAAAACTCGAAGAATCATTTTATAAAACTCGAGAATCGTTTTATAAAACTCGAGAATCGTTTTATAAAACTCGAAGAATCGTTTTATAAAACTCGAGGACCGTTTTATAAAACTCGAGAATCTTTTTATAAAACTCGAGAATCGTTTTATAAAACTCGAGAATCGTTTTATAAAACTCGAGAATCGTTTTATAAAACTCGAGAATCATTTTATAAAACTCGAGAATCGTTTTATAAAAATCGAAGATCGTTTTATAAAAACTCGAAGAATCGTTTTAAAAACTTCGAGAATCATTTTACAAAACTCGAGAATCGTTTTATAAAACTCAAAGATCATTTTATAAAACTCGAGAATCGTTTTACAAAATCGCGAAAACCGAAACCGCCGCAAAACGCGAACTAGTCACGACTAGTTTGCCTGCTGGCGAACTAAGCCGAGCTAGCTTAGTTCGCCAGCAGGCAAACTTGGAGGCTTAGTTCGCCAGGAGGCGAACTAGGAGCTTCCCGACTAGTTCGCCAGCTGGCTAAGTTCGCCAGCAGGCGAACTAGAGACTCCCCAATGGCGAACTAAGAGGTGCTGACTTTGCCCCTCAGGTTCTTATTGCCTAGTTCGCCATATGGCGACCTGGCCAGCTGAACTAGCTCGCCGTACGTCGAGCCGACCATCCCGACCCTCGATCTCCCACATCTTTGATTCAAGGCATACGTCCTTCGACACGATCGTATTCCGAGTCACGGTCGAAATGTCTCCCGTTTCGTCTCGATCTGTCCTATCGTTCGAGTTTTAAAAACCGTAAAACTTTGTTTTCTCGAAAAGAACTCGAGGAAATCATATAAAACGACAACGGTTAAACGAAACACCGAATATTGCCTAAACTATACGATTTATTCGAGATTTTTCGTAAAAATCGTACAAACGCGTTTTAAATAAAACCCCGAGTAAATCGTAGAAAACGGCAACGATTAGTCGAAACATCGAACATTGCTTAACTTTACGATTAACTCGAGAAACTTATCTAAAAACGGCATCGTATCAGGAAACGATCTCGTCTAAAGTCGTAAAACGGATCTATCGCAAAACGGCTCGGAAAGTCATAAAACGCGATAAAAGCCACTCGCGACTTTAAACGATGTCCAACCCGAAGAGACGACGAAGTTTTGGCGATTTACTCACAGAAAGAAGATAAATGTCAAACTTGAAGATAAATGTCAAGGTTGAGGATAAACAGAAGATTTCCGCGGGAAAAAAAGAAAGATCGAGATAAATGGAAGATTCCCATTAAACTCGAATCTGGGCGAAATGGAAAGAGTAAACCACCTAGGAAGGGAGTATATAAGCAAGAGGCATAGGGCAGAAGCAAAGGGACAAATTTCAGAGCTCTCATCTGAGACTTTCACAACTTTTTTAGACTTAGAATTTTCCGCACTTAGAAACTTAGGCTTTTTCTCGACAAGTTCGGTTTCTATGACTGGCGCTCAATTACTAGACGAACCCGCCCAAGCAGTTCGATCTCTGGTCCAGCTCTACCAACTGAACTACGTTTGACTTGATCCTCGAAAGGGGTACGTAGGCAGCCTTTCATAAGGTTCAGTCCGAAATCAATCAAACCTTTTTAATAATCTTTTTCCGTCTTTCGTTATCGAGCTGCGACTCGACTAGATCTAGGGTTTTATGTTTGTAACTTGCTGATGGCCCCTGCGGCCAAAGCCTTTGTAATTCCTTGTAATGATCGCAACGCTCTTACGCGAATCGGAAATAAGATCGACTTTCTTTATAAATTCGCTTTATTGTGTTTTTCATATTTTTCCGCATTTATTTGGTTACTTGTCGTTGGCTTTCGCAGAGATCCGGTTCCTCTGGGAAATTAGGGTTTTCCTAAGTTTCCTTATTTAACGGAAATCGACAAGTGTGAATCTCGGTTTCCACAGCTTCGTTCTTTAAGAGGCAAGGAACTTTTACACAGAATAGCAACCAAAAAAATTCCAATACCAACACTAACATTTCACTGCAATATCTAGTCTCACGGGCTTTGTGAAAGAGGGACCTTACGAGAGTGTACGAGATGTAAGTTACTTTACCTCAACGGATGAGCCAGATGTTAGTTCGAGAGTGACCATTGTACCATCAACAGCAGGGCTTTCTAGTTCAGCTTTTCTTGCTATGTTCAAGAAGCCTTCTTCACGAGTTGCTAGACCAAGTTGAATGTCTGAGATTCCAAATTCGGTTTCTCTGTCTTGCAGCTCAGCAAAAAGTCTCTGTATCATTATAAATAAAAGGAAAGGTGTTTCAAAATCACTTATGCTTAGTTCCACGGTAGGTATTAATACTCTCTATATGATGATAAGTTGTGTAAAGGCTTACTGTCAAAGTATTCTCGTTATGGTGCGGTATAACAAAAGTCATGAAGCCTTTGGTTTCTTCTACTGGTTTGATATTGAGATGCTTCAAGAAAGCAATGACAACAGCTCAGAGAGAGAGGAGGGGGCGTGAGAGAGAGGAGGGGGCGTGAGAGAGGGACGGGTGAGATAGATCTGGTGGCCTCGAGAGAGGCGGTTGTTGGATCTCTGTTTTGGAGAAGCTGATCTTTTCCGGCCAAACCGGTGGTCGTTCCGGTCAGATCATCAGCTCGTTGTAAATCTTTTAACGAGTACTACAACGTGGTATATTCACACTTCAAAAACAGATCAAAATTGATTACGAAATGAAGCTTTGAAGTTGGTATCTTGGTGTGGACGAAAACCAATAATCCCAGAATTTTGGTTTGTCCCACATCGGCCAAAGAGGAAGAAATGGAGCAGTATATATATGCTCATGAGTTAGGAGTGTGTAAACGACTCAGGGTAAGGGATGGCTGCCCACGCGCGCGCCGCCGCTGCCGGCCGGCAGGCTCGGCTCGGGCTTGGGCTTGGCTTTATTGGAGGGCCTTTGGCCTGATAAGAAGTTATTTTTTTGGACCAAATTAAGCTCAACGCTTTGCCATTTAAATTTCAAAAAACAACACGACATTCGTGTATAAACGACATGTAGTTTGTATATAAAGAAAAACAACATGGAGTTTATCAGTTCAAAATAAATCAGAACGAGTCAACAAAGGAGAGATCTTGCGGAGAAAGTTTCTTAACTCCACTCCCGAGATTTCTGAGAGATTTTCGCTAACGTGGTGCAACAGTTACGAAAATCAAATCTCTTTCTCCTCTTTATAAACTCGTCTTCTCCTCTCTCATTTATAATCATTTTTACACAGAAAAAATCCACCAATCTCTCAGCGTAAGTTTTAAGAGAGTGTTCGTAGAATTTTTGTTCATTAGGTCGTTTCATGAGTGAAGCGTGATTCGTCTGCCTTGGTTGTATTCTGGGACTCGATATTCGTACAGTTTAGTCTCACTACGGAGCGAATATTAAGAGTTAAGGAAAGAGATTTATCTCGCCTCCATGTCTTATATAATCGTATGTTTCCTTAACTCCGTCTTTCTTATATCGTTTAAGTCAATCCGGTTTTCCGGTTTCTACAATCTTAACTCTAAATCGCTTTCTGTTTAAAGCTTTAATCAGGTTGAAGAAAAAGCGATGTATAGAAACGGGTTCTGGAACCGTGTTTGCGATTGGCTCTATAGCACTTCCGCGAAACGTTCTACGTTGAATATTTGTCTGCTATACGTGTTTGCGATTTGCTCTATAGGACTTCCACAAAACGGTCTTTCAAACGCTGTTTGCAATTTGGTTTTTTCATTTCCGCGAAACGTTTCTTACTTATCTCAAAACAATTTGCGGTTTGCTTATAGCATCATCCGCGAAACGTTTTAGATACTTGTTTCTTTTAAAACGTTTATACATGAATCGTTTTTTCACAGATGCTTTATTAAGTGAATTTGTGAAACATTCTAAGTCTACATAAACGGTTTCTGCGAACGCTTATAAGTGAGTTTGCAAAACGTTTTTACAAACTTATATCGATATGATTTGGTTCAGATTACCAAAAATGAAAATCGATTTCACACTATTATTTTTGCTTAAAAATAATATGTTATTATTTGAATGTATGGAGTACTGATCTATTTTCAAATTTTCTTTACAGAAAAAAATGACGAACGATGATAACACCCCCATTGAACTCGCCACTCAGACTCCACTCAACGCGACAGCACCTGTTGCAACCGGCGTGACGAACGCTGTAACAACCGATGCGACCCTTCCAGTGGGTGCTATTCCTGATGAGACCACACGTCGTAGCCTGTTCGGTGCTGGCCTTTATCAAACGGGTCCAATTCAAGGATCCACAAGTGTTCCGGTTGCAGTTGCGACTCCTCCGGCTATTCCTGGTGTCATCTCTCAGAATATGATGCCAGACAAATTTGATGGCAAAGGCTTCAAAATGTGGCAGAAGAAGATGCTGTTCTTCCTGAGTTTGTGCAAGTTGGACAAATTTATCGAGGAAGATAAGCCAATTATCCCTCATGGGATTGACGATATGCACGTCTTCTCAAGTGTTGAAAGTTGGGTGCATTCGGATTTCATCTGCAAAGGCTACATTTTGGGTCGTCTCATTGACCCATTTTACCAAGTCTACTGTGAGATTCTAACGGCTAAAGAGCTCTGGAAATCGCTGGACAAGAAGTATAGAGGTGAAGACGCTGGCTGCCAGAAGTATGTAGTTGCAAAATTCCATGACTTCAAAATGGTGGATTCAAAACCCATCATGGATCAGGTGGAAGCGTATCAGCTCATTTGCTATGAAATTTCTGCTGAGGGAATATCCATAGATGAGACATTCATAACCCTCAGCCTCATCCAAAAGCTTCCTCCAAGCTATGCTGAATTCAATAATTACCTGAAGCACAAAAAGAAGAAGATGGGACTTGAGGATCTCATTCAGAGGCTTTAGATGGAAGCCAGAAACCGAAAGAATGATAAGCTCGAAGCTAAAGAGCACAGTGTTAATGTGGCTGAAACGAAAGGTAAAGGAAAGGCAATTGCTAACTCCGCTGACAAGCCTTCCAAGACAGCTGCAAACTTGAAGGTTTCTGGACCAAACTTCAAGAAGAAAGGCAAAGGCAATGAAAACAATGAGAATGTGGAGAAATTCAAGGGAAAGTGCCACTACTGTCACAAAAATGGTCACAAGATTGTTGAGTGCCGCAGCAAGATCAGAGATGAGAAGGCCCAGGTGAATCTCTCAGAGGTAGATCTCGTTGCAGTGGTGACTGAAGTCAACATGGCTGAAAACAACAACCCCAAAGATTGGTGGTATGATACTGGTGCCACCACCCACATTTGCACTGATAGGGCGATGTTCAGCACTTATCGGAAAAGCAAGACTCAGGAGAAGCTGTTCATGGGGAATAAAGCAGTCTCCAAGATTGAAGGCCGCGTCAAGGTGGTTCTGAAGATGACATCTGGACGTGAAGTCACTCTGCAGAATGTGAAGCATGTGCTTGACATGCGGAAGAACTTGGTTTCGGGAACCTTGCTCAGCAAGAATGGATTCGCCACATCTCTTGAGGCGGACAAGCTCGTGATTAGGAAGAATGGGGTGTATTTGGGAAAGGGGTATGTTAAGGATGGACTGGTCAAAATGAATGTAATGACAGTCCTTCCAAAAGTTGTAGCTCCAAAAGTTTCAATGAATAAGAAAGAGCCAGTTGCTTATTTGGTTGAGTCTTTTAATATTTGGAATGAAAGATTAGGCCATGTGAACTACAAATCAATACAAAGATTAATGAATCTAAATCTAATCCCAAAATGTAAAACAAGTAAACAAAAATGTGAAGTATGCGTACAGGCTAAGCTCACAAAAACACCCTCACCTCATGTTGAAAGAACTAACAAACCTCTAGATTTAATTCACACCGATTTATGTGATTTAAAATATATACAAACTAGAGGTGGGAAAAAGTGCTTTGTTACCTTCATAGATGACTGCACAAAATATTGTTATGTATACTTATTACGTAGCAAAGATGAAACCTTAGAAAAATTCAAAGAATTTAAACTCGAGGTAGAAAATCAGCTTAAAACAACTATTAAAATAGTTAGAAGCGATAGAGGAGGCGAGTATGATGGGCCATTCATTGAATTCTGTAAAGAACAAGGAATAATTCATCAAACTATAGCCCCTTACTCACCAGAATCTAATGGTTTTGCTGAACGCAGAAATCGAACTCTAAAAGAGATGATGAATGCAATGTTGCAGGAATCAGGATTGCCCCAGAACCTGTGGGGGGGGGGGGGGAAGCGCTGCTTACCACTAATTATATCCTCAACAAAATTCCACACAAAGTAACTGGCAAAACTCCATATGAATTATGGAAAGGTAATTTACATCGTATAAATACCTCAAAGTGTGGGGGTGCTTAGCAAAAGTTGCGGTACCACCACCAAAAAAGGTCACTAATTGACCTAAAACAGTGGATTGCATCTTCATCGGATATGAACATAACAGTAGTGCTTATCGATTTCTGGTACATAAATCTGAAATATCAGATATTCATGAAAACACAGTAATGGAATCAAGAAATGCATCTTTCTTCGAAAATATTTTCCCATGCAAGGAAAAACAAGGTTCAAAACGAACTCGAGAAGAAAGAGACAACGACAATGTTTCAGAAACTGAGACAAACGTCGAGATTTCTACAAATGATATTTCAGAAAATGAAAAAGATGAACCTAGAAGAAGCAAAAGAGCTCGAAAGGAAAAATCTTTTGGAGAAGATTTCCTAATGGCATTTCTAGTAGAAAATGTTCCAAAAACTTTGGCAGAGGCAATGGCTTCACCAGAAGCTCCGTTTTGGAACGAAGCTGTCAGAAGTGAATTTGATTCTATCATGCAAAATTATACATGGTACATAACAAATTTACCACCTGGCTGCAAAGCATTAGGAAATAAATGGATAATGCCACGAAAACCTGGTGGAAAATACAAAGCTAGGCTTGTAGTTCAAGGATTCTGACAGAAGGAAGGCCATGACTTTTTTGATACATATTCTCCAATAACGAGAATAACATCAATAAGACTGATGATAGCAATCGCAGCCTTAAGAGACCTAGAAATCCATCAAATGAATGTAAAAACCGCTTTTCTAAATGGTGATTTAGAAGAGGAAATTTACATGAAACAACCTGAAGGGTTTGTCATTCTTGGATAGGAAGGCAAAGTATGCCGACTAGTAAAGTCCCTTTATGGGCTGAAACAAGCTCCTAAATAATGGCACGAAAAATTTGACAGTATAATGATGTCAAATGGTTTCAAAATTAATGAATGTGACAAATGCATATACTACAAAACTACCAAAAATGGGTATGTTTTGCTATGTCTATATGTAGATGATATGCTCATTATTGGAAGCAATAAATACATTATCAATCAAACAAAGAACATGCTCAAAGGGAAATTTGAGATGAAAGAC